AGGAAAACCCTGGAAAAGGGGATTTTCTCCAAGCTGGGGTTGTTACGAGCAGTGGGAGATGAACACGGGGATCTCCAGTGGAGGGAAGGGATTTTCCCCAGGAAAACCCTGGAAAAGGGGATTTCCTCCGAGCTGGAATTTTTCCAAACATCGGGAGCCAAACATTGGGATCGCCAGCGGACATCGGGAATTTTCCTGCTCTCCAAAAGAAGGGAGCTGCTAAATCCCAGCACCAACTTCCAGTCAGGATATTCTTGGGACATCCAAACACTTTTCCCACTTTTCCTTGGCCACAACATTCCAACCCAGCCACCCCAAAGCAGGAAGAGCACGGGACCTAAGGAATCCATCCCTTCTTTCCAGGCTATCCCAAAAATCCTCGGCACCATGAGCTGATGGCAACTCCTGCTCCCAAAATAAATGGGATTTTTTTTTTTTTTAATTTTTTTAACTTCCCAAAAATCCTATGGATGCAACCGTGCCAGTCTGGACCTCCAGATAAACAGGAGCTCTTTTGTTCCACGGGGCCCTTCCCAGCAGCTGGAAAAGCCACCGGCACAGATGTTCCCTGTTAGACCAGGAATTGTCATTCCTTAAAAATGTTGCTGCTCCAAAGACAAACATCCCGTTCTTTTATCCCAAACTCAAGGAAAAGCTCCCGAATCCAAGGATTCTCATGGAAACGCTTCCTGTCTTACGGCTTAATGTGGGAATTCACAACGGGAAAATCATCTCCAGCTGGAGCTGTCCTCAACAGCATCCAGGGAAATCTGGATTTCTGGGAATTTGCTCATTTTCCTGAGGCTTTCCCACACTCCCATGTCCATTTGGTTGTGGAGAAGAGGGAAAAGGTGGAAGGCTGGGAAAAGGAATGGGAAAACCTTGAGGATGAGGAGGAATAAAGGTGGAGGCTCCGTGGAAAACGAGGATCTCCTGGTGTAATTCCCAATTCCCAAAGAATTTCAGATGCATGGAATTCCATGAACTTCTGGGAGCAGCTCCAGCTTGATGTGCCCCCCCCCATCCCTCCATCCTGCAGGGAATCCTCTTGGAGACTTTTCCATTCATTCATGTTGGGATCACACCACCCACTCCTCAATATTCCCAAAAAGCCGGCGGGTTTGGGGTCGGATCATCCCTTTGGGATGACGAGGCAAACCCAAAGGAAAGCCCAACCATTCCCAGCTTTTTGCCGTGAATGCGGAGCGGCTGCGGAGCTCCCGAAGCCGGAATTCTTGTCTCCCAAAAAACAATGGAATGATTTTTCCCTTTTCAGTGAAATGGGAGTGATCCATCAGCTGGAGCTGTCACATCCTCATGGAAACTTGGCAGCTCGGGAAAAAGGCTTCCACAGCTGCTTGGAAGGTGTTTTTAGGGATGCTGCTCCACTCTTACTTTCCTTGGAAAGTCGGGCTAGAAATCCTGGATTTTTCCTTCTCAAAGGAAAAAAAAAAAAAAAAAAAATCAGGGATTTGGGATGGGTTATCCCAAATTCCCAAAAATATCCAAGTAGCCTAGCTCATCCCAAGAAAACCGGAGCATCCCGCTATTGAAGGGAGACATTCCTGGTTTTTTTCAAGCTTTCTCCCTGCACACATCCTGGGATCATCCCAAACCTCCTGATTTTCCCCCGGATTCCCAAGAGGGAAGCGGCTCCCACATCACAACTTTGCCAAAAAATGAGGCTTTGAAAGAAAATCAGAAGCAAACAATTCCTGCCTCGCCTCCCTCTCCGTTCCCCGCTCCCGGAGAAAACAAAGGGAAAAAACCCAACAGGGATTAAGTGGGAAAAGCTCCGACTGCTCCGAGCTGCCTGAGGATGGATTTTGAACTTTCATCCCGAAAAAATAAGGAGAGCAAAAGCAGGGATACCCCAGGATTTGCTCTCCAAGCAGAGCCCAGCGCTGGGTCCTAATTCCCAGTTTTCCGGCCAGGATGGGAATGGGATGTGTCCATGCCTGCAGGGTTGGGAAAGGCTCCAAACCAGGAAAATCCAGGAATTCTGGAATGATTTGGGTGGGAAAAAGCTCGAAGCTCATCCCATTCCACCCCTGAGCTCCAGACCCTGACCCTGAACATTCCCGGTCCAAGCCCGGCCGAAGGGAAAGGGAGGAGGGGAAAGGAAAAAAGAGGGAAAAATCCTCTGGCGGGATTGAAAGCCAGAATTGTGCTGATCTGGAAAAACACTTCCAGGGGTTTCTGTTTTCCAGCTCCTGCCAGAGGTTTTCTTGGCTGGAATTCTCCCATGGCTTGGCCGCCGCCGGAGCGCTTGGAATATTTTGGTGGAAGCGCAGAGAATTCCATCGTGTCTGCTCCCGGCTCTCCCTCCCACCCTGGGATGCAGGATCGGCTGCAGCCCACTCCATTCCCGGTTTTTTGGGGGGATTTTCCCTCTTTTTGGCCTGATTTTCAAGGAAATCATGGAATGGTTTGGGTCATTCCAGCCCCACTTCCAGAGGTTGCTCTGGAAGTTTGAACGTTCCTGGGTTTGAACATTCCAGAGACGGGGTGGCAAAAAATCTGGGAATCGACAGCGCTTCCGAGGGAGAAGGGTTTGTTCAGGGTGGGAGTGGGAGATTGGGAAAAATCACCTGGGAAATTCCCAGATTTCTTGGGAATCTCCAGAGGGAAGCTGGAGATCCCACAGGACCCTGCGGACACAGATCCCAGAACGGCTCCGTGGAAAATCCCGACTGAGCCAGGAGCCACGGAAAAGCCGAACCTGGAAATGCCTCCTTAACATCCCAAAAAATGGGGGGAAAAAAATGGGAATGTGGCATTCCTGCTGCCCACGGTATTCCAGAATTCCTTGGGCTGCCTTTGCTCCCGTTATCCGATGTTTTCCGGGATTTGGGGTCCGGACACGGATTTGTCACCGCTGCCTGTCCCTGTCTGTGCCCCTCTCCAGGATTCCTTGGAAAAGGAATTTTGGGATACTCCCAGGAATCAGAACTTCCCTTTGGATAAGTGGGACACGAGGTTGGGATAGGGAAATGTCCCTTGGAGCATCCAGCATCCCAAAAATTCCAGGAATCGGGCGCCAGGTGTCCCTCTCCAGGATTCCTTGGAAAAGGAGCTTGGAGATGCTCCCCGGGAGGAGTTTTGGGATCAGAACTTCCCTCTGGGATATGAGCTTGGGATAGGGAAAGCGGCTCCCCAGGAGCACCCAGCATCCCAAAAATTCCAGGAATCGGGCCCCAGGATTCCTTGGACGAGGAGCTCTGGAATGTTCCCAGCCGCAGCTCCTGGAATGACGGGAAGCACTCCGGCCAAACACTTGGAAAGGGGAGATGAAAGATGAAGGGAATTTTTTCCCTTTTTTCCCCACTCCGGCACCTGCAGGAAGATTCTTCCCAAAATTCCATGAGATTCCAGGCTGTGTTTGCCCCAGGAGCTCCCATTCCCACGAGAGCTTCCAGGTTTTAAGGGCTACACATCCCACCTGTGGGAATTCTGCTCATTATTCCCAAAGAAATCCACCCACAGCGTCCAACCTGCTGGGATTTGGGATTTAAACCCTCTAAACCCCCTCTGCCCTCCCAGGAATTCCTTATCCCAAAATTCCTCCCAGGTCATTTTGTCCCACCCAGCAGCACAGGGAGTTCCCATTTTCCCCAGTTTTCCCAAAAATCCCCAGTTTGGACGCTGGGAATGCTCCGATCCCGTAATTCCAGGTGCCCCTTTCCCTGCCTGCTCCGGGAGCGGGAAGCCGCCATTCCATGGAGCTCCGGTGGTTTTTGGGATGAATTCCAGGCACCTGTTGTCATCTTTTCCATCCCCGCTTGGAGAAGGCCCCTCCAGCTCCACGGAAAAGATGGAAAAAGGGTGGAAAAGGAGGCCTGGAAACCCCTGACGGCTCTGGAAAATGCCGGAGCAAAATCAAATCCCACATGGATGAGCTTTTCCAGCCTTAAAAATCCAAGTGGGATTTTTTTCCCCCCCCCTCAGGAGTTGAATAACCCGAATTTTTTCCTCACGGATTTTCCGCTCCCTGGGATGCACTTCCATGAGTCTGGGTGGCTCCTTGAAAAGTCTGGGAAAGGGGGAAATTCCCGACTTCCAAAAATACCTGGAAAATCCAATCTGCTTGGAGCCGCTCCAGTATTCCTTTAGAAATATATATGGAAAAAAACCATAAACACAGAATTCTTGGAATTCATTCCCAAACAATTCCCGGCAGCCAAAAGCAGCATTAAAAGGCTCAGGCTGAAGGAGAGGTGCCAAAATCCTCGGATTCCGCGCTTGGAATTTGGCAGCTGGATCCCGGCACATCCACGGCCGGGATTCGGAGGGGACCACGGAGTCTCCGCTGTATTCCAGCGGATTTTGTGGAATTCTTCGGGATGGGATTGGAAGATGCTCCGCAGGAATTGGGGTCTCAGGGCATTCCCTTTCCTTCCGTGTCCTGCCAGCTCCTGGAATTCCTGGAATTATCCATCTCCTGGAATTGTTGTCCAGCTCCCTCTAAACATCCATGGATTTTTTATTCCAGAGGTTTCCGGTTGTTCCCGGGTTTCTCCATTTTTCTGCTGTGTCCACATTTTTCCTTGGAGTTTTTCCCGCTCAATTGCAGATTCCAGCAGCGCTGTCCTGACTTTTTATGTCCGTGTCCATCCGTAGGATCCCGCTGGAAAAATTCCCATTTTTCCAAGCGGAGGAACCAACAGGAGGGAAAACTAGAGGTGGATCCTGCGGATGTTGGCAGGAAAAGTTGGGAAAAGAAGCCAGGGATGGTCTTTGGTCCTGCTTGGGAAAGCAGGAAAAAATTCCCAGTTTCCAGGGAATTCAGCCCTTGGCCACGCCATCAGTGGTGGTGGCACGGAAAAACGGGATAAGAGACCCCAAAATCCTGGGAATTGCAGCGCCTCAGCTGCAGACTGCTCCTATGGGTACAACCGGGATGAGAATATTCCCAAAATTGGGATTTTCCAGCAATTTCCCTCCGAATCCTGGGAAATGCTGAACTCCCAGCTCTCGTCCCAAGGCATCAGCCCTTCCATAGGATGCACAATTCCAACGGGAAAAACTCCCAGTTCTGGTGGAAAACGGGGCTGGGAGCCATGGAAAGAGGGACCCTGACTTCCCAAAATTCCATGGAATGGGAATCTCAGGCTCAGGGCATGGGAGGCTTTTCCAAAAGTGGCAAAGGTTGGATTCCAGAATTCCAGGAGAATCCATTGCATTAATTACGGGATTAAGCCTGGATTCATCCACCTGGGGAGCAGATCCCAAATTCCAGGGAATCCCAGGAATTCCATGGGCTTTGGAGCATCTGGACGTGCTCCTGGAATGCACCAAAGGTCTCTGCCAACATCTGGTTGGGATTCCCTGGGATTCATCCCTGGGATCAGCCAAACCCACCCCAAATCCCAAACCTGAGCCAATCCCAGGCTCATCCCACATTCCCGATGGATATTCCCGATGGATTGATTCTCCAGGCCCCAGCTCCTCCATGGAAACTGTAAAAGCCGGGATGGCCTAGACCCAAATTCCAGATGGGATTCCAGCCCCGGGCTCTCCAAGGAATCGTGATCCATTCCCGCCCTTCCCAAATTCCCAGTATTCCCTTATCCCACCCCAAAATCCCTCTTTTTTTAAGGAAAACCTTTCCTTCGTTGTGCACCTCCAGGAGCAACCACCTCCTGGGAATTCTGGAGGTGATTTGGGGTGGTTTGGTGTAATTCCCACCGACATTCCCAGCGGAATTCCCGGTTTTCCGGAGCCCGCTCACCATTTCTTGCCGCCGATGTCGTGCTGCTGCACCGTGTATCCAAAAAAAGATTCCCGGGATCCCGCGATGATCTGCGGCCTCTTGGTGTCGATGTTGAAGGAATTCCCGAATCCTGGGGGGGAAAAAAGGGAAGGATCCGTCAGCCAAAAAGCTGGAAAGCGCCAATTCCACATGGATGAACCGGGAATTCCGAAATCTCAGAAAGGTTCCGGGCACGGAATGATTCCAATCCCGTTCCGCTCCGGGTGCTCCCGCTTGGGGTTGGATTCGGTGATTCCAGAGGCGCTTCCAACCTCGCCCATCCCGGGAAAGCTGCTCCCGAATTTTTTGAAGGTGCTGCGGGAGCAGGGATGGGTTGATCCCATTCCCATCCCAGCCAGGATGGGAATTCCAAATTCCCAAAATTCTGCTCTCTATCCTGGAGCTCCCAGGGAATATCCAGCCCTTGGGAGGGAGCTTGGAGCTCGTTTAGGATTCAGAATTCCTGGGATTCAGCCCTCAACAGCTCCTCCTGGGAATTCCCTGGAGCCAGGATGGGAAGGGGAAGGAGAAAGGAGCTCCTCCCTCTGGAATCCATGGATTTGGCCACTTCCACGGGAATCACGGGATGGGATCCATGGAAAAGGGACCCCGGCCACTCCCAAGGGTTTTCCCAAGGATCCGAAGCTGGGATTCCCATTCCCTGTGGGAGCAGGAGCTGGGGAGAGGCAGCTCCAGAGGGGGACATCCCCAAGGATGGAATTCCAGCTGGGACGGGGCGATTTTTGGGATCGGTCCTTTCCCTACGAATGCTCCGGAAAATGCCGCTTCCCACAGAACAGCGGGAGCAGGATCCGCGGCATCCCAATCCCAGGAATTCCAGAGAAATTTCCTGTCCCTGGAGCAAAATCTGGGGAATTTTCTGGCAGCTCCTCCCTGTGCCTGGAGCCAGATCCAGGTGGGGAAATTGGGAAATCGGGAATCCCCCCCGGAATGGGAATCTTGGGAATGCTGGAGATGCTATCCATGGGAACAGAGGGACAGGGCCCAAATTCCAGGATGGACACGGATAACCAGGATATCCCGGACTGCATTCCCTGAATCCTGCTGGATGCTTCATTCCAAGGAAAACCTGGGAATCCTCCCCCAGGACGGGGACAGGAGGCTCAGTTTGGAATTTCCTGGGATATGAAGGAGCGGTGGGCAGGAAAACTTGGCACTGCTGCTTCCCAGGAAAAATCCAGGCTGGGAATGTTTGGAGAGGCAGGAATGTCAGAGAAAAAGGGAATGTTTGGAATCCTGGGAACAAATCCGCTCCCGGAGCAGGGAATGGAGGAATCTGGCCGGATCCTGAGGAGAAGGAGCTTCCAAATGATCCAGGGAGAGATTCTAGAAAGCTGGGATAAAAAAAAACGGGATAAAAAAAACCAAAAAACCGGGAGACAGGGATGAGAGCCAAGATATTTTGTGGAGCGTTGACCTCATTCCACATCCCAAAGAAATGAAAACCTCGGGAGAGAGGGAAGCTGGGATTGGCCATGGAATGATGGGAAAGGAAAAAGGGGGAAGGGCACGGAGAGCGCCCTGGAATCAGAGGGAATTTTGGGAATTTTGGGAATTTCGGGTTCCGAGCAAGAAATTCCAAGATCTTGGATGCAGAGGAAGTATTGGAGAAGGTGGGATGGATTTTCCTCTTAATTTTCCTGGATTTTGCACTGCGGAACCCCAGGCTGAGGATTTTTGGGAATGGGAACACCGGGATAAACTGGAGAATCCCATTCCATGGTTTAGGATAAAACTCCGGAAAAGGAACAGAAATATTCCATGAAATGGGAAATCTCTGGGAAAACAGCGCTGGGATTGGCTCCTGCTGGAGCATCCCAATCCCAGGGAAGCAAAAAATCTGGGAGAGAAGATTCCAAGCAATGGGTGGAACCTCAAAACTCCAACAAAACGAAAGGAAGAAAATAAATATTGGGAATATTCTAACCAGGAATATTCCAACCGACTCCGGCTGAAACGGGAATTTTAGGAGAGGTTTTCCAGGAGATTTGGGAGCTGGAGAGATTTTCCTGCTGGAAAATCACTATCCCAAAGAAGTGACCAAAAGCTCCAGGTTTTCCTTGGAATTCCGAGGGCAGGAAGCTTCAAATTCCCTCTTTTCCTTGGAGCTTCTGGAGCATCCAAACTTTTGATTTTTGTCAGGAAAAATTTTGGAAAGAAGGAAAATCTTTGGGAAAGAAGGATGGGAATAAAATCCACCCTTCCTGCCAGGGTAAAAATCAGGATAGAAAGAAGTCCTGGAAGGGAAATATCCGGGATGGAGATGATTCCAAAGGTGCCGGCGCCAGGAAAATGGGAATAAAAGGGGGGAAAACTGGGAGAGGGAAGGGAGGAAAAGCTGGGAGAGATGGGGGAAAACCGGGGGAAAAATAGGGGGGAGAAAGGGGAAAAGTGGGAAAAAATTGGAATTTTTTGGGGGGGGGAAGTGAGGGGAAAAAAGGGAAAAATGGAGTGGGGGGAAGGGGGAAAAAAGGGGGAAATTTCCCTGCCTGAATCCTTCGGGATTCCCAGCTGGAAAAGGAAATCTGGGAAGTGCCTGGAAGCTTTCCCGTCATTCCCAAGCCTGGTTCTCCTTCCATGAACGTTTGGGGTTGGATTTTGCTGCCTTTGCCCCAAAGTTTTCTGATTCCCTGGAAGAATATCCCGGTTTTTCTTGGGCTGTCAGGAAAATCCAGGTTTTTTTGGTTTTTTCCTGGTTTCTGGCACTGCTGGAGCTCGGGATGGAATTCCTGGAATATTGAGCTGAGCAAGGAAAATTTGCTAAAGGATAAAAAAAATTTTTGGGGAAAAACTTTGGTGGGCTTGAATTCCTGGGAATCCAAGGGAATGCTGCCAGCTCCCGGAGGTTGTCATCGGCTGTTAGGAAAAATCCCGGGATTTGCATGGCAAGGCCGGGAATGCTGGGGATGAACAGAAGCTCAGTCATCCCGGAACATTCCTGCTTTCCCACAAAACCCTTTCCCAAAAAACGCCGCTGGAGGGGCTTTGCTACAGCGGGACCTTGTGCTTCCAGAATTCCCACAAAATCCCTGGATCCAGAAACATCCAGGGACAGAAATTCCATCCAGGGACAGAAACTCCCCAGGATGGAAATCCCTGTGGGAAAATCCAGGGATGGGAGTGGGGAAAAAAAATGGGAGAGAGGCGGGAAAAGCAGGGAATGTTTCATCTGAATCCAGGGATCATTTCCACACATCCCAAGGCAGAATTCCCAAATTCCCCACCCCACCCCTTGATGGACCAGCACCGTGTCCATGGGGGAATTTCCCGGGAATCTGGCAGCTGCCAGGATTTTTCCAGCATCCCAATCCAGAGCCGCATCCCTCCATCCCTCCATCCACACATGGATCCAATTATTCCAGGAAAAGCAGCTCGGCCACGGCTCCCTCGGCAGAAAAGGGAAAAAAAAAAATCCCAAAAAGCGCCAATCCCATAAAAACGCCGAGCAGCCTGGCGCGTTTTCCAGCAGGAAGTTTGGGAATGTTTGCAGCTGGAGGAGGCGCGAGCCGGTGGCCGAGCTCCTGGCAGTGGGAAAAGCGCTTTTTTCCCGAATTTTTTCCCGATTTTTTCCCCCGTTTCCCGTTTCCTCCCCGCTCCTGCGGCTCCCGGCGCGGGTGGATTCCAGATGGGATGAAAGCAGGAACGGGGAGTCGCTTTTCCCAAGGAAAAAAACCGGGAAAAAAAGGGAAAAATCCATCCCAGCCCCCCGGAGCAGAACGGGAGAAGCCGCAGGATCCGCTCCTGGAATTAAACTCCGCCTAAAGCCTCTCCTGAATTTAACCCCGAGCATTCCCGGTTTTCCAACGGGACGAACCTCAGGGAAGCTGCATTTCGGGAAAACGGAGCTTGCCTTCCCCCCGGTATCGGATCCTTTGGGATTATCCCGATTATTCCCGATCCTTTGGGATTATCCCGGTTAATCCCGCTCCGAGGCCGAGGAGGCACCGGCAGCTTCCCGGGAATTCCGGGATCTCCATCCCTTTTCCAGCAGCCTCCCGCTCCCGGCAAAATGTTCCCAAGAGCCGCTGAAGGTCTCTGCGGCACTTTTCCCAAGCCATTCCCGGTTTTCCTGCGGGAGTTGGGGGGATTGGGATGGGCACTCACCGGGCAGGAGGCACAGGGAGCAGGCCAGGAGAATCCCGCCGGGAATATCCATGGAATCGCCGGCTGGCCCAATCCCCGCTGCCGAGCATCGGCGGGACCGGGAGCTCCGATCCCAGATCCCGACCCTTATCCCGAACTTTTCCCGGCTCCCTGACAGCGGGAGAGCGCTGGGAGGGAGTGGGAGGGACCAGGGCAGCGGGGAGGAGGGAAAAGTTGGGAATGGGGACGGC